AGTCCAATAGGGATAATATCTTAGGAAGATGGCTAGGATTGCCAACCTAAACATTTTTTTATCACACGTTTCACCAACACCTGCCATCCTTCTAGTAAACCCTAATAATATTGGAAGTGATTGTAACTCACAGCCCCATCTAATACTACAAGTTGTGGAATTCTAGCTATACTATTGATTGTGCACATAAATTAAAGCAGTGTAACAGAGCATGGAGCTAACATAATTTCTACTGGTTACCTCTAGGAGGAGCTTGAACTGTAGGCTTCGTCTGGGAGAGACTAGAGAGAAGTAGTTTGTGGGGGAACCTGGTTAAAGTAGAGATCCTCCCAGGCCATGTCTACAGCATAGAGGGTCACCACCAACTGAAAGATCAGTGGTATCTGCACAGCTCTCAGAACCAGCTATTTAGCCTGATTCCACCAAAAGCAGAGAGTTACAGCTGGGTAACTCCCAGGGATCTTGACTGCTCCTAGATCTAGGACAGAGTTCCCTTCCATCACCATGAGCATTCAGACTGAAGAGGTGACAGGTTATTTTGATGAAGTGTTTCAGCCTCTTCCTCAGTGCATTAGCTTGTAATATAGATAACTTTAGAGCTCACCCTGACATCCAGTGTCTGAAGCATCAAATTTTTTTTATCTTTATATAGCCTAGTAATCTCTCTTCTATCAATATAATGGTCAGTTAGACATCCTTACCATAGTAAAATACAAACTTAATGTCTAGGAGAGCATACAAGGGGCAATGTGTCCTTTAATCTTTTATGGGAGATACTGCGTTGAGTGAAGATTAAATAAATATTTTCCACTACTTTTGCCTATCTTGATAGCATGATTTTAAAGGTGATTTGACAAAAAATTCTCATTTTTATGTCTGTGTTGATTAGCAGAATAAGTATTTTAGAAATAATTAAATTTCTTTTCCTATTAATCTTCTATATCTTTAAAATGGATAATCTTTAAATTCCAGTAATGACATTATTTTTCTTTATTAAATTTCTGATATTATCTATGTATTAAATTAGTTTCTGTCCTAGTTATTTAGTAAAATGAAAGTACTTACAGAAATCATGAGGAATTATGCTACATAAACAAACACTCAAGCAAGACAGGAATACATCAAATATCTGGCAGACACTGAATAAGAAAACAATGAAAGCTATGTGCATTCACCTGTCTAAATTCCACAGTCTCCATGTGTTCTACGTATGGACAGAAAACACATGGGCAGCAGCAGAGACTCAGAGAGCATCTGACTTCCCACCCTGCTCCTTATCCTGTCATTGCTGAAGAATTAACTGTATTGAAATATACACATTGTACATAAAGTTGTATTCTATAAAAGCAATCTACTCTCAAGATTATGTTATATAATCATATTTATACCAAATACTGATGAGATTTTATGACAAATAGACACATATTAAAATCATCTGAGAGAGACAAACTTCAATAGAGAAAAAGCCTTAGTAGTACTGGGCATTGTAGGGCATTTTCTTAATTACTATTTGATAGGGGAGGATACAGTTCATTGTAGGTGATTCCAGCCATTGATGGTGACCCTGGGTTCCCCAACAAAGCAAACTTAGCAAGCTATGAGGAGGAATCCAGTAAGTGTCTCTCCTCTATGGCCTGTGTTCAGCTACTGCCTCTGGGTTCCTTCTCTGTTTGAATCCCAGCCCTGACTTCCCTCAGTGATGCACTGTTACCTGGAAGTATAAGAAAAATAAAATTTCTCATCCTTTTATGTCACTTTTGGTCATGATGTTTTATCATAGCCATAATAATTCTTAAAAAGACACACCCTTTACCCTCCTCTTTCTCTCTTTTCCATGTTTCATTGACTACAAGTTTCTTTCCCTCACCTAGTTCCCCTTCTATCTATCCACTATAGGTGAATTCATGTTTAAATATTCATGTTTAAAATAGAAGATTTGTAAATGAGATTGTACATGTAATAATTTTGTTTCTAAGCTACATGTCCACCTGTCTCTCTTCCTCATGGGTCACATACCACTGTGAATTCTCCCAATCTGCTCTCAAATATAGAGACCTGGAAACATCACTGTATAATAAAGTCTGAGTGTGTCTTGATAGACTCTACCTTCCAGGCTTTTATCTCATATTTATGAGTAAATTTAACATTACTAATTGGAAACCCATGACACCCATGTAAACAATATGCTAACAAATGTCATCTAAGAGCAACAATCAATAAATAGGACCTCATGAAACTGAAACGCTTCTGTAAAGCAAAAGATACTGTCTTCAGAACAAAACAACAGCCTACAGACTGGAAAAGGCTCTTTACTAAGTCAATTAAAAATCCAATTAAAAAATGGGGTACATGTGTTGTCACTTGAGTTTTTCATCTTGGCTATTCTGCTGAGTGTAAGGTGAAATCTCAGGGTTGTTTTGATTTGCATTTCCCTAATGGCTAATGATGTTGAACATTTCTTTAAGTGTTTCTCTGCCATTGTATATTCCTCCACAGAGAATTCTTTGTTTAGCTCTGTTCCCCATTTTTTAATTGGATTACTTGGTTTGCTGCTTTTCAGCTTCTTTAGTTCTTTATATGTACTGTATATTAGTCCTCTGTCAGATAAAGGTTGGTGAAGATTCTTTCCCAATCTGTAGGCAGTCATTTTGTTTTGATGACAGTATCCTTTGCTTAACAGAAGCTTTTCAGTTTCATGAGGGCCCATTTATTGAAAGATGACAATGCAGCCACTCCTGATGAGATCTGATAGATTAAGATCAGAAGGATGGAGAGGGGGACCTCCCTTATCAGTGGACTTGGGGAGGGGCATGCATGAAGAAGGCAGAGGGAGGATGGGATTGGGAGGGGATTATGGAGAATACAAAGTGAATAAAGTGCAATTAATAAAAAAAAATAAAAAAGAAAAAAAACGGTGTACAGAGCTAAATAGAGAATTCTCAATAGAAGAATATTAAATGGCAGAGAAATACTTAAAGAAATGCTCAATGTCCTTATACTTCAGGGAGATGCAAATCAAAACAACCTTGAGTTTTCACCTTGCACCTTTCAGAATGGCTAAGATCAAAAACTCAAGTGATAACACATGAGGCACTTTCTCAGACACATAGAAAAAGCACTTCCTCAAGATCCAGCTATAGCACTCATAGGCATATATCCAAAAGTTGCTCAAGTCCACAACAATGACATTTGTTCAACCATGATTGTAGCAGCTTTATTTGTAATAGCCAGAACCTAGAAACAACCCAGGTGACCATCAATGGAAGAATGGGTACAGAAATTGTGGTACATTAACACAGTGGAATACTACTCAGCAATTAAAAACAAGGAAATATACTCACTTATATGTGGATACTAGACCTATAAGATAGGATAAACATACTAAAATCTGTACACCTAAAGAAGTTAAACAAGAAGGAGGACCCAGGGTAAGAGGATCAATCTCACTTATAAAGATAAATAGAATGGACATTGGAAGAAGGAGAAAACAAGAAACAAGACAGGAGCCTACCACTGAGGGCTTCTGAAAGTCTCTACCTAGCAGTGTGTGAAAGCAGATTCTGAAACTCTTAAGCAAACTTTGGGCAGAGTGCAGGGAATCATATGAAAGAAGAGGTAGTTAGACCTGAAAGGTACAGGAGCTTCACTAGGTGAGCAGAAGAACCAAAATATCTGAACTCAGGTGTATTTTTTGATACTGATACCCTAATGAAGGTCCATTCATGGCTATAACCTAGAACCCTGCACAGATGCAGTCCATGGAAACTCAGTATCCAAATCTGTTCCCTAGTAAGGGGAAGAGGGCCTGTCTCTGACATGGACTGAGTGGCTGTCTCTTTGACCCCCCTCTCAACATCCCTGAGAGAGGAGCAGCCTTACCTGGCCACAAAGGAGGACAATGCAGCCAGTCCTGATGGGACCTGATTAGCTAGGGTCAGATCGAAGGGGAGGTGGACCTCCCGTATTGGTGGACCTAGAGGGGGGCATGGGAAAAGATGAAGGAGAGAGGAAGGGTGAGATTGGGAGCGGATGTGGGAGGGCCTACAGCTGGGATACAAAGCAAATAAAATATAATTAATGTAAAAAATAAAAATGTAATTAAAATAAAACATGACCGAAGCCACTTTTCAAGAAAGTGTTTATTGGTGCTTTCAGAGAACTAGAATCTGTGATAGCAGTTGAAGGAAGCAGGTGGCAGAACTTATTTTAATTAACTTGAGCAGAAGCCCAGGGCTCACATCTCAAAATATATGTATCTATTTAGATATATATGTATGTATGTATGCATGTATGTATGTGTACCTTGTGTGTCCTATAACCAGAATTATAGATGACACCGAATCATCAACCAATTAATTGGAATCAAACATGAGTCTTTTATAAGAGTTGAAATGTTCATAACTGCTGATCTGACTCTATTCCCAAACCTTTCTGTTGTAATATGTATTTCCTTTATCTGCTCAACTTTCTCTCCTCTCGACATTTCCAATCCCTCTCCAATCCAGATTTCTCTCTCCTCTCCATCCTCTCTTTTCTTTCCTTTCTCTCACCTACTCTTCTACTTTCCCCCCTTTTTTCCTTTCTTCTTCCTGCTTCTCCTGTTTCTTTCTGCTGTTGGTGATTAGGATATTTATTGTTTCCTCAGGATTGTAATCAAAGGTTTTCTAGTGTATTTCTATTAAACTCACTTTACTTAAATGTTTTCGATTTTTAATGGAAGCCTGTCATGAGTGCATCTCAATATTTTCAGATTGTGAGCTCAAAGTTGGTCCTTGAGCTTCAATGTTGACTTTTCCCCCCATTGATTGGTTATTCACTTTGATATTTTTGGCTGAACATTTAACCTGGATTCTTTCACAGCCCAGTACCCTGGCTATTTACTTCCTCATGTAATGACTGTTTTGCATAGGTCCCTAGAAGACAGTCCAGCTGCCCATAATTTATAAACCAGGACCTTTGCAATTAGAACTGAAAATCATCAGACAGCCTGGGCAACCAAGATGGAGTCACACACCCAGATCTTTGTATTTTTGCTCCTCTGGTTGTCTGGTGAGAAATTAAAGAGTATTAGAGTATTAGAATATCATCAATATAGTTCATTTGTAGAAAAAACAGCTGTTTACTATAGGAAACCAATTATATGCAGACAATGCCATTAGAAAAGGTATTTTGGATGCCAACATTTGTATCAGGAAGTCCTTCTGTGTATACTCATTGTCTATTTCTGGTTGCAGGTGCTGAGGGGAACATTGTGATGACCCAGACTCCTGAATTCATGTCCACATCTGTTGGAGAGAGAATTACCTTAAGCTGCAAGTCTAGTCAGAGTGTGAGTGGTTGGGTAGCTTGGTACCAGCAGAAACCAGGGCAGCCTCCTAAACTGCTAATCTATGGTGCATCCAATAGATATACTGGGGTCCCTGATTGCTTCACAGGCAGTGGATCTGGGACAGATTACACTCTCACCATCAGCCATGTGCAGGCTGAAGACCTGGCAGATTACTACTGTCAGCAGTATAGCAGCTCTCCTCCCACAGTGCTTTAGCCTCCAACACAAACCTCCTTGAGAGTCTCACCAGCTGCCTGCAACACACACAGCCCTGGGCCTGCACACTTCCCCCTTCTGCCTGAGATCTGCTATGCATGACTAATTGATGCAAACTTTTGTAGAAAATTGATTAAGAGATAGCCTCCTCTCTTCCATATTTTTGGCAACACTGGTGTGTATAGACAAGGGAGAAGCTAAGTTAAGAGATTTAGAAGTTGTGGTGTTGCACTGAAAGGATACAGTACAAGCAAGAAACATCAGTTAAGTTTATGGTGTCATGCTGACTTTAGATATCTCTTTGTTATGGCTTTAGACTATGATGAATCTGCATAAGATAAGACAGATTTTAAAATTATTTACAAAGAATACATCATCCTGAGAATATTAGTTTAGATTAAGAATCCTCAACCTTTGGTAAATTATCTATCAAGAAAATTGTCTATTTCATTTAGATTTTCAAATTTTATGGTGTATTGACTTTTGAAGTTAGACCTAACAAGTCTTTGAATTTCTTCAGTGTCTGTCATTCTGGCCTCCTTTTTGTTTCTAATTTTGTTGATGTGTATAGTTTCTCTCACCCTTTTAGTTAGTTTGGCTAAGGGTTTGTGTATCTTGTTGATTTTCTCAAAGAACAAGCTCTTGGTTTTTTTTGAATGTCTGAAATTTTTTTGTATAATAAATAGTTTAATGCTGCAATTATAGAAGGCTGTATTAATTTGAAAGACCCAGTTTGCATTATCAGCATACAGAAACATGAGGAACTCTGGGCAACTGCCCATGTTGTATGCTTTGGTCTATATATCTGTTTGGTCTATATGTCTATTGCATATATGCATCTGATTTTTATTAATTTATTACAATTTATTCATTTTTTTATCAGAGCTATGTCCTACTTCCTTTTCTCTTCCAAATCCCACTCTCTTTTTCTCTCTTTCTCCCATGCCCCTCCCTCAGTCCACTGATAGGTTTGGACCTCCTCCCCTTCCATCTGACCCTAACTAATCAGGTCTCATCTGGACTGGTTGCTTTGTCTTACTCTGTGGCCTGCTTTGACTGCTCCATCATCAGGGGAAGGTGATCAAAGAGTCAGCCACTGTGTTTATGTTAGAGATACCTCCTGTTCTTTTTACTAGGTGACCCACTTACAGACTGAGCTGACATGGGCTACATCTGTGCATGTAGGTTATCTCCATGTATGAATCTTGATTGGAGAGTCAGTCTCAGAAAAGTACCCTGTGCCCATATATTTTGGTTTTGTTTTCTCCTTGTGGAGTTCCTGTTCCTTCCTGGTCTTACTATCTCCCATTCTTTCATAAGATTCCCTGCACTCCTCCCAAAGTTTGGCTATGAATCTCAGGAAATGTTTTGATACCCTTCTGGGTAGAGCCTTTCAGAGGCTCTCTGTGGTAGGCTCCTGTCCTGTTCCCTGTTTTCTCCCTCTTCTGATGTCTGTACTGTTTGCCATTCTGAGTGAGGATTCATCAGCTTAACCTGGGTCCTCATTCTTGCTTAGCTTTCTTAGATTTTAGTATGTTTATGTTATATTATTAGTCTAATATGCACTTAGGAGTTTGTGTATACCATATAAGTCTTTCTGCTTTTGGGATACCTCACTCAGGATGATCTTTTCTAGTTCTTACCATTTGCATGCACATTTCATGATTTCCTTGTTTTAACTTTTTTTTTTAATTTTTTATTAATTACACTTTATTCATTTTGTATCCCCCCATAAGCCCCTCCCTCCTCCCCTGCCGATCCCACCCTCCCTCCCCTTTCTGCATGCATGCCACTATCCAAGTCCACTGATAGGGGAGGTTCTCCTCTTCTTTCTGATCTTAGTCTATCAGTTCTCATCAAAAGTGGCTGCATTGTCCTCTACTGTGGCCTGGTAAGGCTGCTCCCCCCTCAGGGGGAGGTGATCAAAGAGAAGGCCAATCAGATTATGTCAGAAGCAGTCCCTCTTCCCATTACTATGTAAACCACTTGGACACTGAACTGCCATGGGCTACACCTGTGCAGGGGTTCCAGGTCATCTCCACGAATAGTCCTTGGTTGGAGTATGATTTTCTGGGAAGTTCCCTGTGTTCAAATTATCTTCTTCTGTTGCTCTCCTTGTGGAGTTCCCATCCCCTCCAGCTCTTACTATTTCCCACTTCTTACATAAAATTCCATTCACTCTGCCAGTCAGTTGGCCATCAGGCTCAGCATCTGCTTAACTTTTTTTTTTTTTAATTCTATTGTGTAAATGTACCACAATTTCTGTATCCATTCCTCAGTTGAGGGACATCTGGGATGTTTCCAGATTCTACCTATTACAAATAAAACTGCTATGAACATGGTTGAGCAAATGTCCTTGTTGTGTGCTTGAGCATATTTTAGGTATATGCCTAGGAGTGCTAAAGCTGAATCTTGAGGAAGCACTGTTCTTAATTTCTCAGAAAAGTGTCAGAATGTTTTCCAAAGTAGTTGTCCAAGTTTACATTACCATAAGCCGTGGTGGAGGATTTCCCTTTCTCCACACCCTCTCCAGCAAGTGCTTTCTCTTGAATTTTTGTTCTTAGCCATTCTTTTGGTTGTAAGGTGAAATCTCAGGGTCAATTTGATTTGCATTTACTTGATGATCAAGGACATTGAGCATTTCTTTAAGTGTTTCTCTGCCATTTGATATTCTTCTATAGAGAATCCTGTTCAGCTCTGTACTGTTTTTAAATTGGATTACTCAATTTATTGCTTTTTAACTTCTTTATATGTTCTGGAGATTAGCCGCCTGCCATTATAAGTTTGTCGAATACCCTTTCCCAGTCTGTAGGTTATCCCCTTTGTTTTGATGACAGTGTCCTTTGCTTTACAGAGCTTTTCAGTTTCATGAGGTCTCATTTATTGATTGTTGCTCTTAGAGCCTGTGCTGTTGGTGTTCTGTTCAAGAAGTTGTCTCTTGACAATGAGTTCCATGCACTTCCCCACCTTTTTTTTCTAACAGATTTAGTGTGTCTAGTTTTATGTTGTGGTCTTTGATCCACTTGGACTTTAGTTTTGTGCAGGTTGATTAATATGTCTCTATTTGCATTTTTCTAGATGTAGACATCCAGTTAGACCAGCATCATTTTTTTTCCATTTTGTTGCTTTTGCATCTTTTTCAAAAATCAGTATCAGTTGGTGTATGGGTTTATATCTAGGTGTTCAATTTGATTCAAGGATCTATCATTCTGTTACTATGCTAGTAACGTACAGTTTTTCTTTTTTTTATTATTGTTCTGTAGTACTGCTAGAGAACAGGGATGGTGATACCTCCCCAGAATCTATTGTTGTACAGGATTTTAAAATCAATTTTGGGTTTTTTTGTTTTTCCATATGAAGCTGAGATTTCTTCTTTCAAGTTCTGTAAGGAATTGTGTTGGTATGTTTATGAAGATTGCATTGAATGTGTAGATTGCTTTTGGCAGGATGGCCATTTTCATTACGTTAATACTACCAATCCATGAGCATGGGAGATCTTACCATCTTCTGATATCTTCTTCTATTTCTTTTTTCAGAGACTTGAAGTTTTTTTTTCAAACAGATCTTTTTCTTGCTTGGTTAGAGTCACACCAAAGTAGTTTATGTTATTTGTGGTTATTGAGAAAGTTGTAGTGTCCCTAATTTCATTTTCAGCCCTTTTGCCATTTGTATACAGAAGGGCTACTGTTTTTTTTTTTTTTTTAGTTAATTTTTATGCAGCCAATTTGCTGAAAGTGTTTATCAGCTAAGGAGTTCTATGGTTGAATTTTTTAATTTATTTATGTATTTTTTATTAGTTACATTTTATTAAATCTGTATCCCAGCTGTGTGCTCCTCCCTCATTCTCCCCCAATCCCATCCTCCCTCCCTCATCTCCTCCCTGCCCCTTTCAAGTCCAGTGATTGGGAAGGACCTCCTCCCCTTTCATCTGACACTATTTTATCAGGTATCTTCAGAACTTGCTGCAAAGTCCATCTGTGGCCTAGCAAGACTGGGGAGTGAAGAGGTCAAAGAGCCTGCCATTGAGTTCCTGTCAGAAATAGTCCCTGTTCCCTTTACTATGGAAAACCAATTAGTTATTGAGCTACCATGGGCTACATCCGAGCAGAGGTTCTAGGTTATATCCATACATGGTCCTTGGTGGAGTGTCAGTCTCAGAAAAGACCCCTGTGCCCAGATATATTTGGTCCTTGTGAAACTCCTATCCTTATGGTTGAATTTTTGGCATCACTAAAGTACATTTTCATGTTATCTGCAAATAATAATATTTTGACTTCTTCCTTTCTGATTTGTAGCCTCTTGAACTCTTTTATTTGTCTTATTGCTCTTGATAGAACTTCAAGTACTATCTTGAAGAGATGTGGAGAGAGTCGGCAGCCTTGCCATGTCTGTGATTTCAGTTAGATTGATTTAAGTGTCTCTCCATTTAGTTTGATGTTGGCTATAGGTTTGCTCTATACTGTCTTTACTATATTTATGTATGTGCCTTGTATCCCTGATCTCTCCAACTCTTTAAACATGAATGGGTGTTGCAATTTCTCAAATGCTTTTTTGTCATCTAAGAAGTGGATCATGTGGTTTTTCTCTTTCAGTTTGTTTATATGGTGGATTACATTGACAGATTTCTTTATACTGAACCACCCCTGTATGCCTGGGTTGAAGCCTATTGGTCATCATGGATGATATCTTTTATATGTTCTTGGATTCGGTTTGCAAGGATTTTATTGAGTATTTTTGCATCAATGTTCATAAGAGAGAGAGATCTGAAGTTCTCTTTCTTGGGTTTGTGTGGTTTAGATATCAAGTGATTGTGCTTCATAGAATGAGTTTGGTAATGTTCCTTCTTTTTATATTTTGTGGAATACTTTGAATAGAATTTGAGTTAGCTTTCTTTGAAGGTAGAATTCAGGTCTGAAACTGTCTGGCCCTGTTTTTTATTTAATTTTATTTCTTTCTGGAAAGGAGACTTATGATGAGTGGTTTTATTTCCTTGGGGATAT